AAGAAGGCCGAGAACCTCTGTGTGTCCAGCGTGGCCGAGGCCACCAGGACCTTGAGCTGGGGCCGGAAGCGGGCGATGTCCTTGATGAGCCCGAACAGCACGTCCGTGTGCAGCGTCCGCTCGTGGGCCTCGTCCACCATGATCACGCTGGGGGGTCACCATGGGGACAAGGAGTGACCATGGGGACAGGGGGGTGGCCATAAGGACAAGGGAGTGACCATGGGGACAAGGGAGTGACCACAGGGATGGGGGAGAACACGGGGACAAGGGAGTGACCACGGGGACAGGGGAGGGACCACAGGGACAAAGGAGTGACCACGGGGACAGGAGAGTCACCACGGGGACAAGGGGAGGGACCACGGGGACAAGGGAGTGGCCATAAGGACAAGGGGGTGACCACAGGGACAGGGGGGTGACCATGGGGACGGGGGACGGGACACAGGGACGTGGGGACAGGGACATCAAAGTGACCCCAGTGAGCCCAAGGACAGGGCTTACAGCACTGTCCCCATGTCCCCCTGGTGTCCCCAATGTCCCCCCAGTGTCCCCCAGTGTCCCCAGTGCCCCCAGTGTCACCTGTAGGAGGCCAGGTCGGGCTCGGTGAGGAACTCCCTCAGTAACATCCCGTCCGTCATGTACTTGAGCACCGTCCTGTCCGAGGTGCAGTCCTCGAACCTGATGCTGTACCCGACCTTGGGGACAGGGGACACGGCCACTGTCACCCCCACGGGGTCACCAGTGTCCCCCAAGGGCCCTCGGGACAAGGACGGGTCCCCAAAGGTGCTTTGGGGTCTCTCAGGGTGGGGACATTGTTCTTGGGGTCCCCCAGGACAAGGAAGTGTCCCCAAGGATCCCTTGGGGTCCCCCAGGACAAGGGAGTGTCCCCAAGGATCCCAAAAGTGTCCCAGGACAAGGAAGTGTCCCCAAGGGTCCCTTGGGGTCTCCCAGGACAAGGAAGTGTCCCCAAAGGTCCTTTGGGGTCCCCAGGGTGGGGAAGTGTCCCCAAGGATCCCCCAAGGTCTCCGGGGTGAGGAGGGGTCCTCAAGATCCCCCAGGAGAAGGACACGTCCCCAAAGGTCCCCAAGGTGTCCCAGGACAAGGCCATGTCCCCATGTCCCCCCTGTGCCCCCCCCATCCCCGGGGTGTCCCCGCTGTCACCTCGTTGCCCAGCTTTGTCCCCATCTCCACGGCCACCCTGGCGGCCACGCTCATGGCGGCCACGCGGCGCGGTTGGGTCACCCCGATCTTCAGCCCCTGCCTCGTGTACCCCTGCGGGAAAAGAGGGGGTCAGGATCCCCCAGTGACCCCCCAGAGCCAAACCAGACCCCTCAGACCCAAACCAGCCCCCCCAGATCTGAACCAGCCCCCCCAAAATGGAACAGATCCCAAAAAATAGAACTGACCCCAAAAAACAGAACCGACCCCAAATTATGGAACTGACCCCCC